TTGGGACATATTTATTTGCCTCCCATTTTGACTGCCTGTCTGTGGTTGTTTCTATATATTAGATAGAGTTGCTATGTCTCCCAGTCTTAGTAGAGTGGCCTTATGTAGTAGGTGTCCTGTGGGGCCCAGTGACATAGTCTCCCTTGTTTACCTAAGCCAGGTACTCCAGGTATGTCCTTTGTGTAGGTGGTGTGTGCCTGCCTGTTGTAGTTGAGCCTTAGTTGCTGTTTGCACATCAATGGCAGGGATTGACCCTCAGGCCGATTGGTTGTGAGGGCTGGCCATGACTACAGTGGAGGAGCTGTGGTGCAGGGGCTGACCTTACAGAGCAGGATCAGTTTAGCAGGGCTCTGGTGCCTGCTCAGTCTGCCCTTTGGGTGTCACCCTCAGAGGCAGCCAGGTGGTGCTCCTGCCAGGTCTGCAGCTGGCCACAGGGCATACTGGCCCTGAGGCCTCCTGGGAGGGGCCCAACCACAGGCCAAGTTCAGTTGTAGCCTGTGCCCTGCATGGGACCACCTGGCATGAGCCACAAAGCAATCTGCAAATGGCCCCCACCCACGATGGGCTTGGTTGTGCCTGGATGAAGCCAAGCCTCCAATCAAGGCTGGCTGCTGCCGATCTGGGCTTGGGGTAGCTCACCAAAAAGTACGGGACATGCCGAAGCCTGATGCTGCTTGTTTGGGGTTTGTGAGCCCTTGAGAGATTTTAGCAAATCCATAGCATGAGCCAAGACAGGCCATTTGTATGGAAGTGGTTTGGGTGTGTCCTGAAGTTGGATGAGGCAGGGCTTCATGGAATCACCAAAGTTGGGTGGGGGGAGGGCTCAACAAAGAAACAGTGGCTTCTGCCAGCACTTCTGTCTGAGAGAAAGTTGCCCTGCTAGCCCTTGCCCTGGATTCAGACAATTCAGTTCCTCTCCCAGTTCCTGGTGACTTGAGCTGCTGCCTCAGTGCTGGAGCTCAGACAGAATGAGTCCTTCAGTGAGTAAGTCCATAGTGGGCCCTTTAAAAGGATCACCTGGGACTCCAGCAGCCTTGTCTCACTCAGCCACAATCTCCACTGGTTTTCACAACCAGATGTTGTGGGGACTTTTTTTCATGGCACTGGAGCCATTGGCTGGTGAACCTGGTGTGGATTCCCCACACTCCTAAGATGGGACCTCTGCAGCTCAGATATTCCTCCCAATTTTTAACTGCCACACATGGGTGTTGTACACCTCCGCCGCTCCTGCCAGTCTCGATGTGGTTTCTTCTGTATGTCCCTAGTCGTAGGACTTCCATTCAACTAGACTTCAGGCAATTTTCAAGGATGGTTGTTCTGTAGTTTAGTTGTAATTTTGATATGGTTGTAAGAGGAGGCAAGCACAGTGTTTACCTACTTCACCATCTTGACTGAAAAAACTAACATTTCTTGTAATACTGGTTTGATGGTGATGAACTCCTTTAGCTTTTTCTTGTCTGGGAAGCTCGTTATCTCTCCTTCAATTTTAAATAGTAGTCTTGCTGGGTAGAGTAGTCTTGGCTGTAAGTCCTTGTTTTCATCACTTCGAATATTTTCTGCCAATGCCTTCTGGCCTGCAAAGTTTCTGTTGAGAAATCAGCTGACAATCTGTCTCATGGGAGCCCCCTTGTTGCCTTTCTCTTGTTGCTTTTAAAATTCTCTTTGTCTTTAACCTTTGGCATTTTAATTATGATGTGTCTTGATATCAGCCTCTTTGGGTTCATCTTGTTTGGGCTCTCTGAGCTTCCTGGAGATGTATGTCTATTTCCTTTTCCAGGTTAGGGAAGTTTTCAGTCATTATTTCTTCAAATAGGTTTTCAATCCCTTTCTTTCTCTCTTCTCATTCTCGTACCCTTGTGATGTTGTTATGTTTGATGTTGTCCCACAGGTCCCTTAAACTATCCTCATTTTGTAAAATTCTTTTTTCTTTTTGCTGTTCTGATTGGGTGTTTTTTGCTGCCTTGACTTCCAAACTGCTGATCCAGTCCTCTGCTTCATCTAATCTGCTATTGATTCTTTCTAG